CTGCTAGCCTCTTATCTAAGCACTGACAAAAAATAATATCCATCAAATTGTGTAATATTAACAAATAATTAACCTTCCTTTTTTACTCTCGTTAATGAGCCGGTTCCTCCGTGGGAGACCCCGATGAGCTGCATACGTGTATTCTTAAGGTGGAGTTTGAGATGCAGGCCATAACCTAGCGAAAAAGCAAGCACTTAAAGGTGCTTGTGTTGATTAACATGGAAGCCAGCTTGTTTCCTGTGGCTTGAGAGGGTATTTTCAGAACGCGAATGAGTGAATCAGCGGATATGGATCCTGCGGATAAGAGGGGCCCCACTGTAGTGTAGATACGCTCTTAACTCTCTATATTGCAGGTGGAAGTCTGTTCTGTGGACTCCCACAGCAGTGTGCAGACTTTCCATGCCCTCTCACGAGTTCTCACAAACAAGCGTGTGCGAATAGGTCTCTCGGGCTGGGATGCTGGAGAGACTGGGTGCCTCACGAAAAAGAAAAAAGGGTTTTAAATTCTTTTTATAGAAGGAGGTCCTTCTTTTACAGGACGTGGGTTGAATTCATGCTGTTGACCTCCTGTGAAGCCAGTGGATTCTTTTGTAAGGTGTCTCCCGTCCTGTGTGAAGAGACAGGGGTGGAGGGACAGTCCTGCTCTTTTAAACTCCCCACCTTTTAAAAAAAGCAAGCCTTGTACACTGAGTATGTGTTTAGGAGCAGCTTTCCTGTTTTTTGAGATAACAGCAAATGCTTCTTTAGCTTTTGGGAGCCGTCTTCTCCCCGACTCCCCCCTTCGGGAGAGTAAAGAGCAAAGGTCCCTTTCTGTGTCAGTAAATAATATTGTCCCAACCGTAGGCATGTTTTCAAGGCAGTGTGTTTCCCAACCTTTGAGAAGCCACTGGTGAAGGTCCACATTTTATCCATCAAGGAATATTAGAATCCTAGGAAGGGGACCTCTGGGTCGGGGAGGCCATCCAGTCCCACCCCCTGCTCAAGGCAGGAAAGCAGAATTGACAAAGGCTGGTTCAATTTTCCCTTAAAGGCCTCCAACGTGGGAGAATGCGCCACCTCCAGAGGTCCCGTGTCCCGTCATTGTACTGCTCTAACAGTTAGGAAGTTTTTCCTGATGACATTCAGCCTAAACCTGGCTCTGTCGCTAGAGCCCGTTAGGACATGTCTCGAGTGCATAAATAAGCTTAAAATGCACAACTTGCATTTAGGGAACATCTTACATTTCGCAGGAAACCGAGAAGTACGGAATGAGCGAACACTGTGTGTGTGGTTTTCTTTAGAACAGGACCCTTTCCCCCCTCCTGGGGTCCTTTGGCTGAGATGAGGCTGTTGAGAACATAAGACCGTCGCGTACTGTTTCCAAACGAAGCAGACGACATGCCATTTCTTTGTAAAGACCCGGGAATTAGAAAAGATAATCAAGTCTAAGGATGTGTCCCTGGAGATCAAGACGATCCGCTCTCATGGATTCCTGATCACCACACGTGGGTGTGAAGGCTGGACAGTTAAGAAAGCCGACTGACCGTTAAGAAGGGTGGGGTGGGAATTAATTCATTTAAGAGGAGATGCTGGAGGAGAGCTTTGGAGCGAAAGAGACCTGAGCCTGCCAGAAAGACGAACAAGAAGGTCCTAGAACCGAATCAAGCCTGATCGATCTCTGGAGTCCAATGTTCCACGTTTAGCAGGGTGGTTTGAGTTCTGCCGGGTTGGGTGCCACCCTCACCCAGTACAGTATGTTGGTGCAATTCTTGAAAACCCCTTCCCCCACAAAAAGGATGCTAGGGGGCACCAGCTTCTAAAACCGCACCTCTTCAGAGTGGTAGCTGGGACTTGAACCAACGTAACCTTCCCAGTCTGTATATGTGTACCTGGCTATATATAAAACCGGGAGCTGAAGCAGCCTGTGGCTTGGGGTTTAGGCTCACATGCTTTCATGCAAAGCATGGAATTGCATGGGGGGGGGGGGCTGAGCTACTTCAAGAGAAACCATCTCTCCATTTTGAGGCTTCTCTTGCGCCTCTCTCTCTCTCCTCTTCCCCATTCCCCTTCCAAAGTGGGCAAACACAGCACAGGCGACCTTTTACAGCAAGCTGCCAACAATCTCTTTTAACGTAGTGCAGAGGAAAGTATAGGAATGTTGTGGGGGGGGGAAGGAGGGGCTTAGGCAAAGCTAACTCCAGATAGGATCTTGGAGGAAAAGGCAGCTTACATGAGACTGGGGGGGCGGGGGGAGGAGAGGCGGAATAGCTGACGATGGCCATAGCCTGTGCTCCTTGCCCCATGTTTGGGTTCCTCCCCCAGCAAAGGCTGACTACCGGGCAGGGGCAACTTGGCTTCCTTCTGGGAATCCTGAGTCCAAAGCAACCGAGTGCAAACAGTCACGTGCTCCTTCACAGTCACCAGCTAGACACTCAGTGTAAGGCTTTAAACCGAGACTTGATTCAACAGAACTTTTCCATCCCCTTAAAAAGTGCCTTTGGAGAACTCTGAGCCAAACCGTGTTTTTGCAGAGGGTTAATCGTCCGGGATTTAATTCAAATCATGATTTAAATGGCAAAGATCGGTGTTCTTTGAGAATTTAAACAGTAGTTTTGATTCTGATTTGTGTGTGTGTTTTTTTAATCCTAATTTTTGCAGAGCAGCTTGGACTGCTGGTGCGGAAAGACAGCGGGTGAAAGCAGGCGGCCAGACCTTTCGTGGTTGGCAGGGTTAGGTGTTCCGCCCTCCCTGCGACCCTGGTCCCTTTGCCTGCAGATGCTAGAATAGCCTGGACGCCCACCTTCACTCGGGCGCTGGGGCGCATGTATGAAGGGGTGGGGAAGCGCTCACGCCGGCGCTGGCACACATGCATGGGCACAAAGCAGCTGTGGGGAGTGGAGTGTGTGCATGGGGGCGGGCGGGAGATCTGTCTCCGTGGCCCGGTCCGGCTTAGGCCACGGATCGGCACAGGGCCGCAGACCGGGGGTTGACAACCTCTGGTGTAGAGTTACGTCAGACCAAACAAGGCTCCGGGCCCCTGTAATGGCTTTACAGAGAGAGTTTTGTTTAAACCCAGCTGTGGTGGAAGCTGCATCTGTTGAACTTCCTCAGTTAAACTTCAGGGTTTAGCGTGGTGGTTCTCTGACTGCGGCACCTTGAAATCTCATCTGAGCCGCTTTGCCTAAGAACCATCATCCCATGAGAGTAGAAGCAAAAAAACAAAATATTTTCCAGGGAAGAACCTTTGTTCATTTCCAGCCAATATTGTTTATGCTAACTTGGAGGGTATTTAAAAAAACAAAAAACAAACAAACAGGGTGCTAACCAGTTACTGCCAGGCTACTGAAAGCTAGTGGAGCAGAAGGTGAGACTTACTTATTAACCTTGAAAGCCATAGCCAAACTGTCTTGACAAACAAACCCTTGAGGAAAATACCGCCTTTGAGATAATCGGCTCTTATCAGGCCAATTCCTTGGTTCTGCCGAGGGAGAGAACTTGCCGGCCAAGGTCTCTCCTTGGCCACTTGCTTGTTTCTCTATCCGGCAGGTTGGCTGGTCCGGAGGCTGAGTTCTTGCCTTGTCTTCTGGCTCCTTTAATGACGTGCTTTAGAAGCTTGGGCGGTAGGAACAGCTAAAGGCTTTTTGTGCATTTCCTGGCAGCTGACCCGTCGAGTGTTCCTTTAAAAGAGGGCAAAACGTCTCACAATTATTTACCAGGCTACTTGGTCACGTTGCCAGAGAAATCCTGTTCAGCCGCCATATTATGCCAGATTTCACAGCGCTGCTGCCAGGTTAATATTTTTATTTCTAATTAATGGCTCGTAAATGATTACTCATAAAGTAACAGTCGTATTTGAGCTGCGCTGGAGAAAACTTGCCTAGTGTTCCTCCGAACGGCACGCTTGGATGAGTGGATGATGATGGGGTGGGCGGCACATTGGGTGGTGCTCCACGGGCCCGCCTGTGGAGTCTGAAGTCTAACTGTGGCTCAGGCTGCGCACCAGACATTGCAGTGTGAACGTATGCACTAACCTCTGCAGGACAGGTTCATCTTATCTTAGAACTGCCGAGCTAAATAGCTTTGTTTGTTTTATTTATAAATATATCTAGGCCACCTTTCTCCCAATAACGGGGGGGGAGGGAACCCAAGGCGGCTCACAATATTAAAAAGAAGAGAATTTAAAACCTAATAAGTTAAACATTAAAGCAAAAATTAAGCAATACACTAATTAAAATACAGTTGAATAATGAAAAGCAAGTAAACATTAAAAATTCCCTTAACTTTTTAAAAAAGACATTGAAAGACTCAGTCGTGATGGTTCAAAGCCAGCCTGAAAAGGTGGATCTTCAGTTGTCGGTGGAAGGATAGACGGGATGGGACCAACCTGACTGTCTTAAGCTTTCTTAGAAGAACTGTGCAGTTAATCGGAAGGTGTTCTGCTAGCATTTACTTACTTACTTACTTTACACACTTATTTACACACTTACACACACCTGTTCTTGGGCATGTGATTGCAGGAGGTTTTACTTCTGGTAACCTCACCAGCAGACCCTTCGATTGGAGATACATTTTTGGGATTTGAAAGCTGGATTCTGTTTCAGAGAAACTTCCTACATGGGTGGCCGGGGAGGGGCATGCTTCATTTAGCCAGAGCATTGCGTGCATCCTCCTCCTTGTTTCTGCAAGGCACATAATGAATGTGTCAGGGTGGGAAGGCCTTACGAAAATGACAGGGAAGGTGTGTCTGTCAATTTGCTTTAAACCAGAGGACACAGGATAATAATCAGAGGCCATTAGAACTGGAGGTGCCTGCAAGCCAGCCCCCTTCCCCCTGAGTAAACGAAGGAAACGGGGTGCCGTGGGGTACATCAGCCCTAAACCTCCCATTTCCAGTTGCAGTCAAGACATCAGGCGTCAAAAGGTGTTCAGTGGAGGAGTGACTCCGTAAAAGGGAGTACACTTGGCTCATTCTAATAAATGCATTACGCAATCAACAGCCTGGGGGTTTTTCCTTGATGATCATGGTAGCTCTCCGTACGTATGTGTGTGTGTGTGTGCGCGCGCATGAGAGAGAGAGAGAGAGAACAAGAGGAGCTGTAGGTTCTTGAGATGGATTCCACACACCCCAGTTTGTTCAACCTAGGCTGAGAAGTAGGCAGGGGAGAGGAGGCGGCCACGGCTCTCCACCCCAGAGGCAGCACCCATGCTTACCATGCGCACAAAGGGAGACGCTCAAAGTGGCTAGCTTGTTTTTGCATTCTGTGGATTCGTCCTTTGGACTCGGCCGCCGAAAGAACACACATACCTGAAGCTTTTTTTCCCTACTCTTTAAAATAAATAGATAAATAAATCCATTATTGTGGCTGAAAAGAAAATAAAGAAATAGGGATTGTCTCATGAGGGATCGCGACCGTTGCTTGCCGTTAAATGAGCAGTCTCCCAAATGTTCCTTGCTTTCCCCTGCCCTGAGAGTCTCCTCTTCCAGCACTATCTCTTGTTTCATTTTGCACAGTCCCAGCTGTCGTTGCTCCAACTCATGCCGGCCCTGTGAATGAGTGATCTCCAAAATGCTTCTGCTCCTTAACTGCCCTGCTCAGCGCTTAACCGACTCAGCCCTGTGGCTTCCTTGAGGGAGTCAATCCATCTCCTATTTGGCCTTCCTCTTTTCCAGCTGCCTTCCCCCTTTCCCAACATGACGGGCTTTTCCCGGGGAATCCTGCCTTCTAGGACATGCCCAGAGTAGGAGAACCTCAGCTAGCCACTGGCTTTGAAAAAGAAGCTGAATGAAACCAGACTAGAGAAGCCCCTCCATCCTTAGTTTTTGATCACAAGCGACCGTTGCCATTGTTGATTTTAACATGTCTCTTCCTCGTCTTTTCCAGTTTGTCCGAGCATAGACATCCGGAACAACATATCGAATTTCAGCCTCTTGGAGAACTGCACTGTGATCGAAGGGCACCTGCAGATCTTGCTTCTTTTCCAAACCAAAGCCGAGGACTTCCGAGGCCTCAGCTTCCCCATGCTCACCATGGTGACGGACTACCTGCTCCTCTTCCGAGTCTACGGCCTTGAGAGCTTGAAGACGCTTTTCCCCAACCTCACTGTCATCCGAGGGACCCGCCTGTTCTTCAACTACGCGCTGGTCATTTTCGAGATGGTCCACTTGAAAGAGATCGGCCTTTACAACCTGATGAACATCACTCGCGGGGCGGTCCGGATTGAGAAGAATTACGAGCTGTGCTACCTGTCCACCATCGACTGGTCCCAGATCGTGGACTCCCTGGAGGATAACTATATTGTGAGCAACAAGCACGACAAGGAGGAATGTGGCGACGTGTGCCCGGGAATCATGCAAGAGAAAAGCAGCTGCTCTTCCACGGTGGTCAATGACAATTTCATTGAGCGATGCTGGACCCACGAGCATTGCCAGAGAGGTATAGTACCTGATGCAACGCCTTGGGCCTCGCACTGTCTACGCCGCAGGGCACCTTTCTTGCAGGTCTAAAACTTACTGGGCAAAACGAATTTGTGGTCCTTACATTGTCGGACACCCTGCTTCCATATCTGACAAGATTAAAAAATATTCAATGAAAAAATCTAGAGGAAAAGTTATTTTCACCATGTGTTACCAAAACTGGCCACTAGAGGGAATCAGGGACTGTGGTAAGTAGTCTTGTTGAAGAATACATAGCCTGGTCTCTCTCCCTCTACTGTCCAGTTCTGGTAATACATGCTGAAAATACTTATTTTCTGGATTTTTTCTTTTTCCGTGCTATGTATATAGCATTCGCTATTTGCAGTTTTCAGCATCCACAGGGGGTTTATGAAGCAATCCCTCAGGGATGCGGGGGTCCCACTGTAAATGCATTCTCATTCCTCATTACGTGGTTGAAGAAGTAACTTGTTGTGTTTCTTCTTGCATCTTTGTTAATTTTTTTCTTATTTTCTGTTACCTTTTTTTAAAAAAACTGAAATTTAAGGGCTGGTAAGGGAATGTCATAAAACTTGAAAATGTTAGATCAGAATGCCTTTTTAAGATCACTTTTAAAAATAACTAGATAATGTATTTATTTATTTTTATTTATTATTCGATTTATACCCCACCCCTCTAGACAGAGTCTACTCAGGGTGGCTTACAAAGAAGATAACGTATCTAGAGTCCACCAAGTTGCTTCTCCTCTACCCGTTCCATTCCTTCCAGGATCTGATTGTGTTACATCCTGGCAGCCCCTTAAAATGCTTTTAAACTTCCCAAGGAAATCGAACATCCCTGTGTTTTGTGCTAGGAACGCGTGGCTTGTTTTAAAGTTCAGGAACTGCTCTTGAACAGGTTACGCCTCTGTACTCCGGTTTATCTCAAGAATCTTTATCGTGTTGTCCATTCCAAATCGCTTGACTGTGTTTTGGATTTGCTGAGAGAGGAAAAAACAAAAGCTTAGGCTTTGATTGCCCATGAAGTTGAGTTTACTGCCTTTACTTATGCTGCCCGGCTGGCTTGTAGCATCTGTTGTTTTGGTTTTTTTAAAAAAGTTTTTTACAAGGCAGAAGCATTTAGAGCTTCGGCACTCCGCGTGGATCTGCAGCTGGGAGAAACTTTAACTCAACGAGCTGTTGTTGCTGTTGTTGTTCAATGTCCTCTGTGTATGTTTGACTGCTGGCCTTTGAGGGCATGAGACGGGCCTATGATTTAGACGCTGGCTCTCCCCATCTTTTTATATATATTAAAAAAGGACCCTTGGCCGCATTTCTTTTTCCTCCCTCATCGGCTGGAAAGGAGGTGGGTGTAGAGATTCTGCTCAGAACCAATACTTGTTTTTCCCCGGTTTCTCATGGCCTCTGCCTCTTTATCGGGCGCTGAGGACTCGGAGAGGTCAAGGAAAGGTTGGTTTTCAGAGCCCAGTAACATGCGGCCCTCTCCGTGTGCATAAAGAACATGCGCACTTTGCTTCCAGTATCATAAAACCATGGTTGGCTCTGTGGTTCCCCCAGCGCCCTTCAAGCCAGTCTCCTCTTATCTGCCTGCGGAGGTAGACACCACAGACCAGAGCAGCCCTTGACCTTGTCTTTTCGCCAAGGAATTCGTAGGCTTTTGCTATTTTGATTTCTGAGGTCCTGCCACTGTATATCTTCCCCTGCCTCAGCTTCCCTGTGTGTCACTCCGTCTTAATGGTGGAGGAAACCACCACCCGGCTGCTCCCAAAGAAGCAAAATACCAGCTTGCTGTAGGTTTTTTGAGTGAGACTCAGTTTTATTTTTCCCTCTGCTGTTGGTTTGCAATGGCAGCCAAAGCAGAAAGAGAGAGGGAGAGAGAGCCAGGAAGAACAGAGCACGTGAGAAATGCTGTATGGGGCTCTCATGAGACGAACCATGAAGACTAGAATCCTAGAATCATGGCGTTAGAAGGGGGCCTTGAAGGCCTTCGAATCCAACCCCTTGCTCAAAGCAGGAACCGAAATCCAAGGAAATCCAGTAGAGAGTGGTTCAATTTCCTCTTGAAGGGCTGCAGCGTGGGAGTGCTCACCACCTCCCGAGGTCATCAGTTCCATTGTCATACTGCTCTAATAGTTAGGAAGTTTTTTCTGATCTTCAGCTAGAATCCGTCTTCCTGTCACTTGAGTCCATTATGATGTGCCCTGCCCTCCTTTCTGACTCTCCTCCTTTCCTCTGGCCAGAGGTTAAGCTAACTTGCAGTCAAGTTGTTTTGTAAACCGTTCTTCAGGATCTTCTTCAGGATCGAGGACAGATCCTGCCCCTCCTGTGCAAGACTACCTTCCAAGGATTTGAAGAGGACTCTCCATCTTCTTTTGTCAAGGCTTAACCTGCCCAGTTCTTTCTGTTTTTCCTCCATATTTATTTATTTGTTTATTTATTTATTAAATTTATACCCCGCCCCTCTAGACCATGTCTACTCGGGGCGGCTTACAACATAAGATAAATCAATATAAAAATATATAATCATAAAAATACAATTGCAATATTAATTAAGACAATTAATTTAAGAATGGAGTACCAAGATGGGATAGAATAAGAAAAGAAGAGAAGTTGTACAAAAGGGAAATAAGAATGGCATACAATAAGCACACACAAAAATGCTACAGAAACCATTCCTTATTGGTCTGTTTGGAAACAGCATAGTATAACAGGCCATACACAGCCGAGGGGCCACTGCCGAGAAGGCCCGGTTTCTAGTTTTTTCCTTCCGAGCCTCTGTCGGCGTCAGACACCTCAGCCGTCCCTGCTGGCAATGACGGGTGATTCGGGTAGATCTGGGTGGGAGAAGACGATCTGCCAATATTGAGGTCCCAAACCGTTTAGGGCTTTATAAGTGATCATTAGCACTTTGAAGTCGACGCGGAAACGGATGGGCAGCCAGTGCAGAGCAGACAGAGTGGGGGAGATGTGTTGGTGTTTTCTCACCCCACTAAGGAGCCTGGCTGCCGCATTCTGGACCATCTGAAGTTTCCGCGTCAGCCTCGCAGGCAGCCCCACATAGAGTGCATTACAAGGGTCTAATCTCGAGATTACGAGCGCATGCACTAGAGTAGTGAGGGCCCCCCCGATCAAGATGCAGACGCAGCTGGGCAATCCGCCATAGATGAAAATAGGCGGAGCGGACCACGGACACCACCTGGGTTTCCATGGTAAGCGCCGGGTCCAGATGTACCCCCAAGCTGCGGACCTCATTCTTTGCGGCAAGGGTCGTCCCCCCGAAAGAGAGGGAGTTACCTATACCGCTGACGGAAGGACCACCCACCCTCAAGACCTCCGTATAGGGCTTGGTTTCCAGTCCCCTGATCGTCCTTCTTGCCCCCCCACCGAACTTCGACAGGATCAGACTCTAAAACCCGTGCCTCGCTACCCGAGGCTTCAACAAACTGGGGAAGCCCTGTCTGCTGACAATACGCTGTGATTCCACACCCAGACCCACCACAGCCTGTGGATGTTCCTGCCACGGCTGCTAAAACCTGCCTTTTTTAAGGTGGCAAAGTTCAGAGACTTCTCTGTGTGTGGGAAACAAGGCCCTTGTATTGTTGACTTAGGTAGAGCCATTGCTTAGCAACCTTTTGCTGTGACTTGTTGTTCTTCTTTTAAATGTCCTGGGAATTTCTGTCCTCATAAGCAGAGTTTTATTGCGCGCTCTTTCCCTCTTCCGCCCAGCCGCCTTCCCCTTGCAATCTGGGAAGCAGGTGCTAAAGATAGCTGTGCATTAACTCGACCTGTTTCTCAAGAGTGTGATGCTTCTTTCCTTCTTTTTGGAAGGTATCCTCCAAGAGATTGTTTTCATTGCTAGGGTGAGAGGAGGAAAAGGTGTTGCTCATTTGTGCCCTTATTTCAGAGACTCTCCCCCAGATGGAAGTTAGTTTGCAACCTAGCCAATGATGGGTTTTGTTCCAAGCCCCCCCCTCCCTGCGGATGCTGAACAACGTGCAAGTATTGAACACTACAGTTTTGGTCTCGATTCTGGTAAATACACCCTGGAAATGTGTATAAATATGAGTTTCTGTAGATTTATTTAATATTTCCAGGCAGCAGATAAATGAATCAGCGGATAGCAGTCCCACGGATAAGGGGGTCCTACTGTATAAGACCGCAGGCATGATTGAAATCAATGTAATTGTGGAGTCAGGGCGTTGTCTTTCCTGCGCTTGCGAAATGCCTTCGAGTACTAAATGCAGGAGTGTTCTTGTATATATAATATTTGTGGTTGATGATGAGACAGTATTCGGGTTTTGTTCAGTCCAAGCACTGGAGGTCTTCCAGGGGTACATTTCTGGCCCATAAAATGTCTAAAGACCCGTCTTGCCTGTGGGAAGCTCAGCACCCGTTCCTGGAAAGCCGGAGTTCCAGAGGCTGTGATTTTTCAGAAGGGAAATGATGGACGCAGGGCGTTTTATTAATTCTCTGCCATCGCCGCCGCTGCCCCCCCCCCCGGTGCGCAGTGCTTAGCACACAGGTGCAAAAGGACACAGGAAGGAACAATTCGTTTGGGCTCTAGAAGCAATTTGCGGTGGATTTTTCTCTCCTTCACAGCCTCTGCCTGAATCCTGCCCCTCCTCGCGTGCTTTTCTATTTAGAGCGGACCTGCTTTGAACGTGGAGCTCCCTTGGCCTGGGCCAACAGCCTTCTGCTCTGGAATTCCCATGGAATTTTGGCTGATGTGGCCACAATGGAATTGTTCACCCTTGGCGTGAGGCTCTGCGGCTGTCAGCTGTGGCCGGAGGAGGAGAATAAGGCAGGCTTCTCCGCCTTAAATCCCGAAGAACGGTTTGCAAAACAACTTGACCGCAAGTTAGCTTAACCTCTGGCCAGAGGAAAGGAGGAGAGTCAGAAAGGATTCGTTTGAGCCTCGGAGACTCTCTTGTGCCAGCGTGCTGTGTCGAGAGTACTCAGAAGTGGTTTCCCATCCCCTTCTTTGCCCCGGGTTGCCTTGGGA